TCAAACGTCACCTCCGCCTTCAAAACCTAACCTCCCGTACATTGCAAAAGATGAAGAAGTAGGATTCAAGCGAGTGGCACTAGTAGAAACAGTATCCTTCTGTGAATTAGTGCCAACATTATCGATTACCCCTCTTCAGGTAATGGGCCGATATATTGAGTCCAAAAAGGGTGACAGAACTTCCCGCCAGCCTAGTAGTAATCCTATTACGAGGTGACGACACGCTTATTTCACAAAAAAAACTGGATGAGCTAGTGACGCAAAACTTCGCTATCTTTTCCAAAGGATGGAACTATGATATTCGAGGGGTGCCTTCGGTTCCTATTTTCAATTATACCTTGTCATAAAACATATCAGGAGCCATCAGAGGGAAACCTGTTCTCACCCTTTTCCTAGGAACTCATTATATCCATGCAGCCGCTTGCCCACAATTCTTTTCATTTTCTCAGTTCACTGAACGAGAATGACCTTGTCAGCTAACTTGGCTACGGGACCAGGTCTTCGTTGAAAATGACCATACCAGCGGAAGCAGAGTGCGGAAAAAAAGTTGGCAACCGGCTGGACTTTGATCTTTTCGCGAATGGTTTCATTTCGGATTTTTTCGAGCCGTGTGTGGCCCATACTCCATAGCAGCATTTACATTTCCTTTGCACCAGGCTCCTCTTTCCTTGGCAGTCATCTGTTTACTCTGGGCTCCATAGGTGGCAGCTGGTCTTACGATGTAGATCTTGGGCTTCGGCCCCCTTTTGAATCACAGTGACCATCTTAATTTTAATTGAATTGTGACAAGACTTGTAAGCTAAGCTGCATATCGGCGTTGTGTTTGCACGTCCCAATGGTTTGGACAAAGTATTGCGACCGTATTGAAAATATTAAATCACTCAGGCCAAACTAACCTTGCGGCAAGCGCTTGTCATACACTCTTAACTTTCTTAGGCCGTAGTCGGATACCTTCGCTTGCCAACGGTCATCCACGAGACAACATTTCGATGTCAGAGAGCCGTGATACTCCAAGAACGACTGATGAATGAAGGCCAAGCCCTGGAAAATCAATAATTGCCATACTTATCACAAGAACTGCTCCATGAGCTGAACCTGGAATGGAAGATTAGAGACAATTAATGAGCACTGCTAAATTGGGCACTATTCAACTATTACTACCCCAGTTTTGCGAAAACAGGCCGGATCTTGATCGACTTTTTTCTACGGGGGTGGATTTGGCTGAAAGTTGGGTTCTAGGGGTAATTCGACCTCCTGAACACGAATATCACATCCGCTCCTCCCGAAACCGCCTGGCGCCCGCGCCACAGGGGCGCCAGTGATTCGGGGCATTTTGGCGCCGGCGCCCGTAGCGCGGACGCGGAGCGGTTTCAAGCCGAGGGAATGTGATATTCGTGATTAGGAGGTCAAACTACCCCTAGGTACAAGTTTTCAGCGGATTTCGTGATCTAGGGTACTTTGGCGCCGGCGCCTGTGGCGCGGGGCCAGGCGGTTTCGGGAGGAGCGGATGTGATATTCGTGTTCAGGAGGTCGAATTACCCCTAGAACCCAACTTTCAGCCAAATCCACCCCCGTAGAAAAAAGTCGATCAAAATCCGGCCCGTTTCCGGAAATCTGGGGTAGTAATAGTTGAATAGTGCCCGAAATTTTCTTGCACCTGGAACGCTCTAATGACAGTGCGACAATTCCCTTTATGGTGCTTTCGTTCAGACTGCAACGTCTATCTACCGAATAAACCATGAGCTCAGAGAAAAGAAATAGTGTTCGGCAGCGTTCAGACTTTGCGATGACGCGCGACGACGCGCTGCAACGCCGCGCGGCGTGACACCGCTAAAACTGCCAACAGCTGCTCTAGTGCTATATAGCGCTCTGAGCCAAATGCACAGCCGCAGGTAGGGAATCGGAACAAACGCCGACCGTTCTGCTTTTGAGAGAGTACGCGGACGGTAGCGTGATATTGCACCGCCTATTTACGCCAGTCTGCGCAACGAAAGCTTCTGCCAGCTTTGCGCTCCGGAAGAGTTATGGAATAAAGGGAGTTGAGACGTGTCGGTTGGCGTCGACTTCCGCTTCGTTCCGTGCGTTCCATCACGAACTCTAAACCCCGCCCTTGAATACAAAATTCCGCCAACTTTAATTGTGGGCAGTGAATAGAGATATATGTAGTCTAGTTCGCTGCGGACGGCGTGTCAGTGAATTGTGAATTTGGCACGGCGCCGAACCCGTTGACAAGACTGTATCATATCGCTTCATATGATCGTTGCCGTAATTACCGTATCACCCGCTTCAACAACCGTGGCACACTCGTACTGCCTGACACGCCCCTTTATCAGCAGTGAACTAAAATATAAATCTATGGATGAATTATGAATCCAACTGAATTACCAGTGAAGACAAAGGTAGAAGCAAAAGTTTCAGCCAAGGCCGTGCAGTTTGTGGCTTTTTTTAGCAATTCGCCAAAATGAAAGGAGGGAGAAACTGTGTATGCAAGAGCAAGACTAAAGACAAGGGATGGAAAAATAAAAAGGGAAAACAATAGACAGTAGTATCTATACAGGTGAGGTAGCGCTTGCCATCTGTAGTTAGTGTTGGCGCTTAAGAATGAAGTCTGATTTTTCAGTGAGTGCGAACCCGAAACAGACTTTTTTGGCGTCTGAAGTCTTACTGAAAAACGTTTCACTGAACAAGCACTGAAAAACGTGTTTCGCAACTCGCCCAAGGGCGTCTTCGACCATACTGTATTCCTGGGATGTCGGGCTAAAGAAGCTGTAAAAATTTGTAGCAAACTAAGCCCGTTGTTTCGGTACCTTGCACCACTACACGACGTTCCATACTGACAAGACTGTAGCCAGTAAAGATCATTTTTGAAAGCTTACATAGTGACATACTGCAAGTTAACCGATTAGGAGGTATACTGCAAACTGAACTTACATGCGCGATATCTCGTACTAGTGAGAAGACGAACATGTTGTCCATGGTAGTCGATCCTTTGGTGATAACGTCATTCAGACTCCCTCTACTGCAGTATTTCCATATCGAAATTAATTGTGGTCCATCGAGGCACAGCCCGAGAAAACGATTGAGGTTGTCATTCTCCAGTTCTCTCATCTTAATGATACTTTCACCTGTACATTCTTCTCACTACATCTCTAGAGAAAGGGGCTTTGAAATATCATGGAACAGTAGCATCAGGAAATACGGCAACCCGTTCTTGAAGTTGTTTTATTATGAAAATCGCAAGTTGACGACGCAGACCGGCTTTCGAAAGCTTCCACAAGAATGCTCACTTGTGCGCGAAAGTCCTGGCTGGCAGAACATCAACCCCCACTTCTCGCCTTATGGGCGAGTGCGCTATCCTTTACGTCACAGGGGCCGCTTTTAACCTCTCAGCTTGACGGCTTTCATGCCGTATCCTTCGGTGGTCGATCTCGCACCGCGGCTGAGATCAAGGTAAGGCGAGTCGTCTTGACCGATAGATCCTGTTAAGTATGTAGTATACGAGTATATCGGAACGGTTTCCAGTTTTCGCTAAAAAACAAGAAGAAGGGATCCTATCCGTTTTTGCACTCTTTCAGGCTCCGACGAAGGTGATGAAGCCGAAACGCTGGCCTTATAGAGTTTGGCAACTTTAGATGGCTCAACCTAGCTATACTCGAAATCCCTGAGATCGGGTAGGCGTGGCCGCATGCTTCAACTTAACCTGAAGGTGTCTATGCTTCTGGTGAGATATTTTCATCTTGACACAATTGTTGTCGTGTCTCTGTCCAACACAGAACAAGATGACAGTTGTCCCAGACTGGAATATTCCACGAGTAACCAGTTCCGTGCCATGTTCAAATGCCACGCCTACTCTGGCTCAGGGATAAGGAGTATACTTATATGTAACCACAACCGTGCCATGAGTCGGTCCTGATGAACATAAAATGCTACGTGTTCATTAGCCCTGCCCTGTCTGTCTGATAATTCGGCACTAGCTGAAGGACCACCCAAAATGGGCGTTTCCTTGATTTGCCCTCTGCTTTTCAAATATAAACATTTCTCGGAAAGATGCGTTAAGTCATCTCATCGCTTGCACGAAGTTCCTGCTCAAGAGGGAGGCTCCAGGCTAACTATAATTTGGACCCTAATAATAACGAGTTCTTCTTTTTGTACTCACCTTCCTCATCTCCAAGCAATCCTGAGACTCCAGCTGCAATCTCGCCTCGTGTTTTCTTGCCGCCACAAATTCTTTCTTAAAATATTACATTAATCTGGAGCGAAGAGGGCAGCTTTGAATTGTGTCAAGGTCAGGGCACAACATATCAGCGCCTTGAATTTGGAAATAATCTCATTATGTTAATATGTCATTGTACGGAGACAACGTAGTATTTTTCATTTTCCTACTAACAGCGCTCTAGTGTGGCAGCGGAC